ACAACCGGGTAAAAAACAAAAAACCCCAAAATCAGAAACCCAATTATTACCTTGAATTATCCAAGGGTTCTCTTCATTGTAGTTCTCTTTTGACATGAAAAGTAAGTACGACAGGAACCAAGCTTTATTGAGGTTTGCTATCAAGTCTAAACATGAAAAATAAATAAATAAATAAATAGAAAAACAAACCAAGGGCATAAGATTGGATCGCTGCGTACGCTTACACCATGCCAACTAGGCAGGGAGAACTCGAGTAGCTGCAACTAATATTTATAAATAAAAAAATCGAGTGCTGGATTGTCTTACTGTATAAGTTTTTTCTTCAACCTCTTATACTTTGGATTCAAACTCTCTCAGTTCTTCTTCTCTTTCGTGTAGCTTAAACTCGTATTATTTTTATTTGTTTGGAAAACCTAGTATTATCGTTTGTAATAAAAAAATGTTTACTAAAAATATAGAACAAGCTGCAAACTAAATTGAATTTAGGATATTACAAATATTGAATAGAGAAGGGTGTGTCCAAGCACATGCATACTGCATGCTTTCTCTAGTGATGACAGGGGTGTACGTAGAACATATCTCTGAATCACTACATGGTGTTCAAAGCAATCTCTCTTTTTCAGAACATATCTCAGAAATTTGACGACAAAGTTGCAAAAAAAAAAAACAAAAAAACAAAAAAGAAATTAAAGAACTTGAAGTATCATCGAATGATTTCTACAATTTGATATCGTATTTCAAACATCTAATTGATTTGCAAATTGTATTTTTCATCTAATTGATTGGCAAATTGTGTTTCCATTTGTTGGAGAGGCTCATTAATCATATTAGTACCAAATGAAGATGCAATTTCTATAAACTCTCAACAGTTAATAAACATGTACATGGTGTGGATGCAAATTTCAAGGCCAAGAGCTTCACGCGTCCACGATGAATGTTTGGGCCCGCCGGGGGGGGGGGGGGGGTGTGTTGGGGGCTATGGCCCAAGAATCTCCGATGCCAAAGTTAGAATTTTGAGGGAAAAATGTTTGGAGAATTTAGAGAATTTAGCAAGAGAATTCGACTTGAGTTTTGGAGAGAATAAGGTAGTATTTATAGGGTGTGGCCGGCCCCTTCAGGAGGAGGAGGGCCGGCCACTTGGTTGGTATTTTTGGTGAGGTTCATGATTTGTAGCTAATTAGGAATAATTGAATAATAAATCAATTAATTAGCTAATTAATATAATTAAAAATGAATGATTTGGGGGTTACCTTGTGGAGAGGATTTGATGAGGATGGATGAAATAGGTTTAAAAATAAATACTATTTGGGCATTTTTTACTTGATTGAGGGATGATTGTCCACTGCTCGTGCGTAGGAATTCCGCTGTGCCTCGAGGTGATTTTGTCATTTTTATCCAAAAATCCACATGCCAGCTCTTAATTATTTTTGACTCCACACATGGTATAGTTTACGATGTGGACTTTAGAGTTCTATATCCTTCATTTTTTGTTACAAAGGGGGACCAAAGCTTGAGTAAGACCCAAATAACTAAAAATTAGGTTTTCTATCAACTAGGCGGGACTAGACTAGTTGATACGATTCCCTTGCCTTACTTTGTCTCATTTTAAGTTCTCAGATTCCTTCATTTTTTCATTTTTGTTAAGTAAACATGTTCAATCAACTGAATTAGAACAACTCCAACAATATCATTTAGTAGTAAGTGAACAATCAATAGAGGAGATCATCAAAACAAAGCATTGCCCAGGTCCATGAACTGCTCTATATATATATCTTGTTTGGATGGAGCTCTACTTAATCATAGTTAAATTAGTTCAAACATCACTCCACAACAATATTTTATTTTATTTTACTAAAGAAAAGACTCAATTTAGTTAACAACTCTCAATTAACCCCACAGATAGGGCCTCCTAACATCATCAACACGAAAAGGTTATTAGATTAATTAGTTCCTAAGAATGATTAATTAAGAAAAAAGGACGTGGTCATGACTGCAACTTTGTAACCACGGGCCTACAATTTTCAGTTTCCATAACAAATTAAGAAGATAAACTCTTGAAACACATGATTTGATTATAAGTGTGTTGGTCTAAGTACTCCCAATTAATTATTTCTTCAAGTTCAACCATATTCCGACTTTCCTTTAACTATAAAATATATTAGTTTTCTAACAAATAGCTAAAATTAAACCCACTACATTAAGAACATAAATCATCGCCATCGGTCCTAATCCAAAACAAATTTTATATTGTTGAGGCAGTGACATTTCATCTACATTATTCATAAGAGGAGGATGATGATGATGATGATGGTGATGGTGATGATAAAATCAAACAATGAGCTATCACAAACAAAACATCCCTTAATTATATCTGCCTTGAAAGTTTATCACCTTTACCTTCTCTCTACTTTATTCTTTTCTTACAAGTTTATCCTATTCTTAATTCGCATTAACAAGGATTTATATAGTAAAGGAAAAATTAGGAAGTTTGTTTGAGGTCATACTATATTTTCAAATCGTAGATTAACCAAATTAAACAACTTTTTTTTTAATTTAATACAAATAATATATATGAAATATTTATATTTTAGTATTTTGTTGAACATTTTGGAGTTATGAGATTGTAAATTTAAGGTTTATTTTTAGTTGAGCCCCCTGTAACTCTATTTCAATTTCACCTTGCTTCCTATAACTCAAAAGTCACCATTTTATTTTCTGAAACTTAAAATTCGTTTCACTTTGACTTGTGAACTCTCTCTTCTCCCTGAAACTTATAGGTCATCTCTTAAAACATATGTGGGACCCAACACCTAGTAAAACTATCCATTATGCATCGACATTCAACAATCAGAGAATATTAAGTTTCAAAGAAATTCAAGAGATGAAAAAATAAAAATGAAATTGATTGGCCTGGCTCATCCAAATCAAACACACATGAGAAATTAATAGATCTAAGGCAATGTGGAGCGAATTTTGAGTTTTATACATACGACTTTCCAATTTCAAGGGGTAAATTAGGATCAAAATCAAGTTTCAGGTGGCAAAGTGAAACGAATTTTTAGTTTAAGTGATTACTTTTGAGTTATAGGAAGTAAAGTGAGATTAAAATTGAATTCCATGGGGCATAGTTAAAAATAAGGCTAAATTTAAATTTGAGGTTGACAATTAGTTGATAATTTTTTTTTTTTTTAAATTGGTAGGTGTAAATAATTTTTTTTTCCTGAACAATTATTTCTACATAGCATTTGAAATTTTTATTGGTAAGTGCATGTTAAACTGCAATATTGGTTAACTAATAACATTGATTAAGTTGCCACTCAGTAATACGGTCTGATTGTATTCCTTTTCACTTCGGTCTTAAGTTCAAATCTAGTAGATGACGAATTCGATAACAAATTAGGCTATCTATTGTGTGGCTTAGTAGAACTCCCCTTCTCCTTAGTGTAAAAGTATCGGTGTACTAAAAAAAAAAATTTGATTAAGTCATTGTAATTTGGTTTTTTTTTTTTTTTTCCTCAAACAAAAAATGCAAGAGCTTAACATCTTTTCACCATTGTAAAAAAAGGTCACTTGCTAATTTGGTTGTTTTTAGAATTTAGACAAATTGCAGTGTGCATTTAAGTTGGTACGCAGTTTGAACCGGATACCGAACTCACCCAAGTCACCTTCGGTCCTTGCTGAAATACAAAGTTAATTATTTAATGAGATGAATTAAATTTTCTGTATACTTTATATACTATATGGTATACTGGAACTCCTCATAGGGAATATTATCTCTTCTGTTAGTTTCTTGGGAATTTCAAGATGGACGGTGCCCCTGTTTGCTATTATATGTATTAAAAAAAAAAGAAAAAAGGTTGCTTCCCAAGAAAAATTCTTCAAACCCACTTTTCAGCAAAAGACAGAGTAGTCCAAGCATGGAATTTTCCTAATAATAATGATTCAGGAAGAAAACCAAGAAGAACAGGAAGAAACCATTAAAATTCCTGTTTTTATTTTCAACAACTTCTACAAAATACAAACTCACCAACTTCACAATTCACATAAGAACAAGCGCTATATAATGTTTTCCAAATTATATATATATATATATATATATATATTTGAAATTGAGGAAACTAGCAGCCTAGATATCGGGGGGTCGAGGAGACAAAGATTTTCTCTCTAGAAGGAATTATGTTTGAGCTTCAAGACAACAAGGTTAGGACAATGAAAAATCGAGTTGGGGACTTGGGAATGGTGAATACAATCATATATAAACAATACCAGATAGATATTTGCTACCTAGCTACCTAGCTACTGCATGGAATTCTTAGATTTTTGAGAGAAAAATTGAAACTATGAACAAAAATAATGGTTGGCTAGCTGTGTTGCTATAATATGTTATGGAGTGGAGAGATTAGAGAGAGCATGCATGTTTGTGTTTATAAACAATCAAATTATATGTAGTGTGATCATTTAGTGAGCAAAAAGAAAGGCAAAGTGTGGGAAAAGAGTGAAAGTGCGAAGGGATGCCCTTGGGTTTTGGTGAAGGGTACATTCTGGTATTGTTTACTACATTAGATATACGACATTGGTGTATGGGTTAATAATGTAACAGCTAAGAAAGGAAAAAGTGATGGGAATTTTGGCAGGGTTTGTAGGGCAAAAGGGCTTTCAAAAGGGCCTTGGGATGCAAGGAATTGTTGTGAGGAGTGGATTTTAATTATATTCTGTGGTGGTGGCTTTGATGATGATGACGATGCACGCCGGCAGCTTTACTGGTGTCTTCATCTCTCCCTCTCTCTCTTCCCTCAAAACCCAAAAGGCACGCCTGCTCCCACTCAAAACTATTCCAAAACTCTAGAGAGAGAGAGAGTGAGAAAGAAAAGATATCCACTACCCATTTGGTGACCTAGACCCTGTTAACTTTTTCTTGGTCTTTTTTTCATCTTTTTGTCAGATGGAATTCTATTTCTAAAAACACCACCAAGACAGTCCATTCCACATTCTATGTTTCAACCGGAAACCTCCCTGTATATAATTTTTAGTCAGTCTTGGTTGTCCATCAATACCATTTATCTGTTTATTTAGAAAAGGAAAAACTATCCATTAGATTCCCACTACTCACATGGTCTCATATATTCTCCATGGAATAGGCTTAAGCTAGAAATGAAGAAACCAAACCCCCCACTCACATATATTCCCCATCGATTAGACCAAGAGAAAAGCAAATCTTACCTACTTAACGTTCCCAAATTACCCTCCACATCTACCTTTTGCTAAGATAATTCACCCAATTAAAGGTTATATATTGTATACGAATTTTATACTTTAATTAGATTTTAATATAACATGTTAAATTGTCAGATAGTTATGTTAATTAAATTATGAATGTTTTCTTGAAAATTTTCATCTATTATTAATATATAGTTATAGGTAGGAAATTAGTTATATTTTAATAAAGTCATGCATATTTGTTTATGATAGATGATTAGTTTAGTTCTCAATAGCCTTCTTTTTACTTATCCAACGCAACCTCCCCTCTCCTAGTCCTATACCTAGGTTATTGAAATTAACCAAGCTAAAATCCAACTTGATGCTATCCTCTCCACCTTCTAATCATTTTCTATCCCCCATTCTCCCACAGTTAAAAACTCGAAGACCCATCTATCTGTTGTCCAAAACAACCCAAGACTGTGCAGACACACACATACACACACACACTCTCTCTCTCTTCTTCTCTTTCTCTTTCTCTTTCTCTCTCCCTCTCTGAAAGTTAAGTTTATTGATGTGGGTCTGTGCAGGTTAAATGGATACCTTGTTTAGGCTAGTCAATCTCCAATCTGATCCCCGTCAATCTTTCACCAACTCAACCACCGCCAGAACCTCAACACCTACAACAACCACCACCACTTCTAGCAGCTCCAGATCCTCCTTCCTCAGTAACCCTCCTCACCCTAATTACCCCCACCAAGACGACGACGTTGGAGAAGAATGCTTCAACTTTTTCATGGATGAAGAAGACTTCTCCTCGTCTTCTTCCAAACACTACTTCCCATCGAATCACCCAACCCCTCCCAACCCAAACCCTCTCCCCACCATCACCACCACTCCCACCCCAGCCGACTTCTCCTTCTCCCCCTCCTTCGTCAACTTCGAGCTCTCCAACGACAAGTGGGCCCCGGAACTCCTCTTGGAGACCGCCAGAGCCATCGCTGACAAGAACAGCTCCCGCGTCCAGCAGCTCATGTGGATGCTCAACGAGCTCGGCAGTCCGTACGGAGACACCGACCAGAAACTCGCCTCCTATTTCCTCCAAGCTTTGTTCAGCCGCATGACCGACTCCGGTGACAGCTGCTACCGAACCCTAATATCCGCCTCGGAGAAAACTTGTTCCTTCGAGTCCACAAGAAAAACGGTGCTCAAGTTTCAGGAGGTCAGCCCTTGGACCACTTTCGGACACGTGGCGTGCAATGGCGCGATCATGGAGGCTTTTGATGGTGAGCCAAAGCTTCACATAATCGACATCAGCAACACTTACTGCACCCAATGGCCGACTCTGCTCGAGGCGCTGGCCACTCGAACTGATGAGACGCCGCACTTGCGTCTCACCACTGTTGTGGCTAACAGAGCCAACGACGGTTCTGGTGGCGCAGCCGCGCAGAAAGTAATGAAGGAAATTGGCGCGAGGATGGAAAAGTTTGCCCGGTTGATGGGCGTGCCTTTCAAATTCAACGCCGTCCATCACTCTGGCGATCTTTCCGAGCTGAATTTATCAGAATTCGATATCAGAGACGATGAGGCCTTGGCAATCAACTGCGTCGGCACTCTACATTCGGTTCAGTCCGTCGGGAACCGCCGCGATTATCTTGTTTCGGCGTTTCGGAGCTTGAGGCCGAGGATAATTACTCTCGTTGAGGAAGAGGCTGATCTCGACGTTGGAGTTGACGGGATTGACTTCGTTCATGGGTTTCAAGAGTGCTTGAGATGGTTTAGGGTTTACTTCGAGGCATTGGACGAGAGCTTTTCCAGGACCAGCAACGAGCGGTTGATACTCGAGCGAGCCGCCGGGCGAGCGGTAGTGGATTTGGTGGCCTGCTCCCCTTCGGAGTCGGTGGAGCGGCGCGAGACCGCCAGTCGCTGGTCGAGGCGTATGCATGGGGCGGGGTTTAGTCCTGCGATGTTTAGTGATGAGGTGTGTGATGACGTACGCGCCTTGTTGAGGAGGTATAAGGAAGGTTGGGCAATGACACAGTGCACAGATTCCGTCGCCGGAATATTCTTGTCGTGGAAGGACCAGCCGGTGGTTTGGGCTAGTGCTTGGAGGCCTTGATGATACGGTGGCGATTGATCATATATTTCACGTGTTTTGGTTTTTCTGGCACGTGCATGGAATGGCACTTGTGTTCGGAAAAGGAGGGAGGAAGATTATAGTGCTTTGGTTTGAATAGAATTAAGTAAATTAATTTAAATTTTCGTGGACAACCTTGTTATTAATTATTTGTGATTTTTTTTCTTGATTTTTATTGGAAATTAAATAGTTTTATGGTTTTGAATTTTCACCATCTTGTCTGCAAGTCCCATTTTTAGTTACCAAATAAACTCCCACTAATCCATGAGTGTTTTGCTAGTATAGAATGAGTGAGTCCTATTCAAATGCTCATACATACATACATACATATATATATATATGTGTGTGTGTGTAAGCAAAAAATAAAGAGGTTTTTTGATATGGGTCCAAAGTAACTAAAAATTGGACCTATTTCAAAAGTCAAAAGTCACTAAAAATTGGACCTATTTCAAAAGATGGTCTATAAAATTAGACATATTTCAAATTTTCCCAAAAATAAATAAATAATCTGTAAGCTACTAATTAGGTCTAACTTTGACTAGAGTTGGCCAGCAACATTATCTCTAGCTCTGTGTTTAACCTACAATTAGTCAACTAAGACAGAAGTACTACAAAATTAAGCAACCATGTGTTTTTCGGTTTTTCTGAATTTAATTTCGTTCAATTTTTCGGGGAGTGGGTCCAAAATTGAAATGGGGTGGTTTGGTTTGGTGTATTAGTTTTAGGGGATGATGTGATCAGCTAAAAATAATTAAGAGCTCCAAAAAAAGGGTGTTTTTATTAATATAATTGAAGCGTGTTACATATTTAATTAATTAATTTTTGGGTTAAACTAAACTATAAAAAGGTCGTGATCTATTTTTGGTGCTGTAGTATCTTAGGACGGCCATGGAGTTGGTTGGGTTGTGTTTGGGGAATCTCATGAAAAAGGTGGTTTGGTCAATAGTGGCATAAGGGTTTTGGTGGCCAGCACGCTGTCTATGATTTTGATATGGTCTTCTTCTTCTTCCTCAGGTTCCTCCTTTATTATTTTTTCTCTCTTCCTTTTCCAAAAGCTTCACATCTGAACACTTTGCATTTGTGGTGGTGGTGGCGGAACTGTACTTTTTGGCCCACGGCAAGGAGGGGGACACACATGAAATGTGAAGATTGAAGATATCTAACAAGATTTTAAAGGGGGAGTTTCTTTTAATAAGAGTTGCGTATGTTAAAATCCTTTTGAGATGAGCCCCTCCACGTTGACATGCCCACTTTTCCTTCTCTCACCCTTGGGGCATCGTGATATAAACAAAAAAGAAATCGAACAATATACCCTAGCACCTCATGCTGGAATTCATAGCAACTGGAAATTCATCAGGAATTGAGAAATGTCTCCAACCTTTTTATTGAATATATGGAAAAATAACAACCCTAGCACTCTAGAGGTTGATTGTAACGTGTCTCTCAACTCTAAACTTTCTAAGAGTACAAAATAATAAACAAATTAAACAAATAAGAAAATAACTAAAAGGTCTTATAACCCCCCGTCTTAAACTAGTAAATGAAGAAATTTGGCCAAAACTGCCTTATGTCAAGGCTAAGCGATGTATTTTATTCCCCTTGCCATTTTCTGAAATAACGTGTCATAAATCTGAATCAAACACTAGAACCTAAATGTGTAACACTTAGCCCTTGCTGTCGTAAATACAAGTACACATTCCAACTATTATCCTTTCAGTTATTTGTTCTACATCGCTCTCCCCACAAAAGGATCAAATTATTCAATATTTTTATGATAGAAACCTAAAATCACGTAAGAAAAGTAAATTTTCACACTACAATATTATTCTCGATATGTACTCCACCATTGCTTTTTTCTAGTTTGATTTGAATAAATAAGAAAAATATAAAAATAGGAACTGAAAGAGGAATGCAACAGAGTAAATATACTTAATCTGCAGATTAGTTTTGGTCTAATATGTGGTTTAGATTAGCACTGATGTGAAGAAATGTCTCATATTAGAAGTTTACCAAATCTTACATGTTCTTATATAAGGAGTTAAATTATTCTTCATATTATTTATTAGTTTTATGATGACGTTGAACTTGCTTAACAAAATAGGTTACTAATATTTTTCTCATTAGGGTATTTTTCAAAGAGAGGTGCTTGGGGTGGTTGCTTGCCCGTGCCCCTCCTTTTAGACTATGATATATGGATTCAATCTTCTTCCCTTTTATCGCTTCGGCCATGGCCCAGCTGTTGCCCTTTTTCTAACTTTAAACGAGACTAGCTGGTTCAACTTGCAACGTGTTGAAGATGATCATATCATATATATGACGCAAGCAAAAACCCAGTCAAGCTCTGATGGCCTAGAGTTTTTATTTGGACAATATATATACACACACAGAGGGAGCCTTAGAGGGTGGATTTCCCCTTTTTTTTCTTAAATACGGATATTCGAACTGTTTTATTCTTTAAAATGTGTTTCAAAGATCATCCTTGCACAAATATTAGCCAAATTAAAAATATTTGAGACATTTAATTGAATTAAAAAAAATTGACGAACATTATGTTCTAAGAAACATTAAAATTTTATCGTAATAATTAAATAGGCAAATAGTTTTGGGTTGAAGTAAATTGTCGAACATCTCTCTACAATATAGCAGTCTAGTTGGATGGATGGATAGAGTAGATAATTTCCTTGATTATCAAATTGCAAGGATGATCTTGAATCGAGATTTACAAAATAAACGGTTCGGAACGTTGAAATTCGATATGGAGTAGATCTCCCAACTAATCTAATATTTTTCATAAAACGTGATCCCTTCCCTCAAAGGATATATATATATATATATATAAACAAATAGATGGCAAGAATAATGTTTTTGTTATTTTTTTATAAACTGAAATGAAAAAAACACCCCTTATAATTTGCCTTCTTTTTTACCATATAAGAACCAAGCCTCTTTTTTATTGTTATAATTAGTCTTCTGTTTTACCGTATAAAAACTATACCCTCTTTTTTGGTCAATTGGTCTAATACAAGGTCTGCCTGTACAATTTAGAGCAAGATCTAATTTCGAGTCATGACTTAAAACTTTTCTTCAAATCTAATGTGATAATCATTTATTTATCAAAGCTCATAAACAAGTTTTGTGCTTATGATATAATCATTTCTATACTAAAAATTTAAAGATCCACCACTCGTTTGATTAAAATTTTCCATGCCAATACAAAAAAACAAAATCTTTATTTTTTCTCCCATTAAATAAAATTGAAATGATTTTGCCTAATTTCTTTTGTATGGCTTAAAGACCCCTCCTAGTCTAAATTGTTGGCTCCAACATTGGTCACAATGTGCACGTACAAAGGCAACAAGCTCAGGCAATCAGCAGGACATCGGTACAAACAATAACCATAGCCATTAGCCTATCAACATCGACTAGAGTGAATGTACTCCCTTTTGCACCAAAGTTCGAATCTATTGCTCTACAGTTCACATTAGTTTAAAGTAAAATATATTTTTAGTCCGGAACAAAACGAACCCTGAAGTATTACCTGTTATACTTCTACTTGATTATTTTCTCATACAAAACCAAACTTCTTCAAACGGGCCCGCCTGACAAAGCCCAAAAACAAAAGTTTGACTACCTCCCCGGCCCACTTTCCTCCACGGCCCTTGTCTGCGTCCGATTTCACCCGCTTCTTTTTTCCCTTATACCACACTTCCAAGTCCCGACCTTCATTCTTCATCTTCTTCCTCTAATCCTTTTCTGGTTCTCATTCGCCTGTAATTTCTTCGTTAACTCGCCCCTCTTTCTCTCTTTTTCTTTCAAATCCGATTGCAACCCCACTTTGTACTTCAATCGGCTTCCTTCCCGCAGGTATGCCTAATTTAGGGTTTAATTTCTGAATTTTCTGTTAAGCATTAATTTATCATATTTAAGTTCTTTCAATTTCTGCTTCTGATTTTTTTGGTGCCTTTGAAATTGAGAATCTGTGGACCGTGAGCATTTTGGTACTAAAAGCCTGGTCCCTTATTTTATTTTCCAGCTATGAATATAATCACCAGTTAGGGTTTTCTGATTGGTTTTTTGTTTTTGATTTTGGGTTCTCAATTTATGAATTGTGTAGTCAGAAATAGGGACTGATTAGTTGTTTTTGTTGGATTAATTGCGGTTTAACAATGATGACATGTTGTGTTCCTGTATCAAACTAATATTGCTGGACTTTGCTAGGTATTAGCGTTGATTTTTCTTCTGAAATATGTTAGATTGAAAACAAACTGTGCTTTCCGAATTCCCATTTTCTTTGTTAGAACCATTTTTGAGTAGAAATTCTTATGACTGAACCACTGGAATAGTAGTAAAATTTCATCTGGTGCTTAAAATTTCCTTTCACTGTCCTGTTGGCTGTTGCTATCTCCCTTTCCATTATCTTTGTAATTCATTAGAGTTTCCGTATATTTTTGGGAGTCTCTGAAGTGCTGAGTTTTGATTTTCAGATTGATTCGGCACCAACTTGGGCACCAACTGTTGGAAGCTTGGGGGTCTTGAACCTGAAAGAATGGTGAGTTGTTTATTTGTTTTGTAGTCAATACTAATTCTATTTGTGTGCTATAACAAATTTTAAAGCAAGCATGAAATTTTGATGTATTTATGGTGTAATTGCAGGCGACACTTGCTGATTCATTTCTCGCCGACCTTGATGAACTATCTGACAATGAAGATGATATAATTGTGAGTAACATCTGCCCTTCGTATGGGAAAATATGACCATAGAGGCTAGTCAGGGAGATGTTAAAATCATCTCTCTCTCAATATCTGCACTGTAAGTCATTGTATAATTTTTTTTTTCCTTTCAGGTTGAAGATGATGCTGATGCTGGAAATATGGAAGAAGATGTTGATGGGGACTTGGCTGATTTAGAAACACTTAATTACGATGATCTGGACAGTGTTTCAAAATTGCAGAAATCACAAAGATATACAGATATAATACAGGTTTGTAATATATGAATGCCTTATTTTTTTTGTGCAGTATTAGTATTGATATCTTAATGTTATTTTGTGTACAAGCTTCATTGCTATATTGTTTCACTTTGTCCGTAGCTTCCTATTTCTTATGCTGATATATGACCCGTGCTGATATATGTGCTTCATATATCTTATGACTTAAGTTTCTACGCAATTTTGTCCTTTCTAGTCTTTAGGTTGTCGTTCAGTAGGTTTTTCCTGGAATGTGCATATTGGCATATATGTAATGGTAATATGGTGTTTAAATTGCAGAAAGTGGAAGGTGCA